ATTAGGCAGTGTTAAGAAAATACCTTCCCTTCTCTAGTCCCCAGAAGTATTGAATACAAAACAATTGAAAAATAAAAATTCACTTTGATGCCTAAAAGAAAATTACTGAATATATTCAAGTATAGAGGTTATCTTACTATAGCTCATACCTGACACGTTTTTTTATAAGAAACAAGTTCTGAAAGATCAAAACTTAGTACAACCAAATTTTATCTTTGAGATGCTTCTAGTTTCAGCTCTTTGATCCTTTTCTTTCAAACCAAGATGTTGAGACTTCAGAAAAATCTTGAAGTTGGCTATTTATGTGCCTAAGAAGTGTTCATTCTAAGGGTTATGAAAAGACCATTTAAAATACATTCAATGAAGAGAAGAAACACGAAGTTACCCAGACCAAAGTACTTATCATGACGCTGTCACTGGAAATGTTTGGCTTTTGCATAGTTTATGCTATCATTTAAACTCTCACTGTTAAATGTATACTCACACATGAGGAAAAATATTGACTCCTCAGTATTTCTTTATGACAAATTCTCATTTTTTAAATAAAATACCAGCTATAGTGAATCGTACAGAAATTGGTGGGGGCAGGGATGTGGCTTGTTTGTTTTGAGTCAGGGTCTTACTATGTAACCACCTTCTCAGCCTTCCAAGGGCTTAGTTTGGTGTTTTGTTTTGTTTTGCTTTTTAAGAGTCATAATTGGAACGCCCCAACTCACTTGAGTTAAAAGACAAACTTCATTCACAGCTTGTTCCACTGCTAGCCACAGTGGTAGTTAGTAGGTACCAGATCATCAGCTTTGGTAACTGCAGAAAGGTGAAATTTTAACTCCATGTTGGGCTCACATTTAGGCATAGCATCTGACACATGTCAAATTCTTAATGTTTAGGATTTCTGAGATGTGTATTTTTATGTTACTTATTTTTCCAGTGCTGGGATCAAACCCAGTGGTAGAGCTAGGCAAGTGCTCTACCACTGATCTAAATTCCCAACCCTTAAACCTGTGCTTTAATGCGAGTTTAAAAAGTGATCTTTACATTGATATGAAGGTAGCAGCTCCTTTAAATGTGCTATTAACATCAGCATTCACTCCTTTAATATGTTCTTATTGTAGCTGGGATCCACGGTACCTGCCTATAAACCCAGTTATTCAGGAGGGTGAGGCAGGAGGATCTCTTGAATCCAGGAGTTCAAGATCACATTGGCAACATAGTAAGATCCTATCTCAAATAACAATAATATTAATATGTTTCTATTTTTAACATTCTTAAGGAAAGGCTTTAGGAACTGGATCAAATGTGGAAAAAAGAATACCTGCTGGAAATCTGGATTTTCAAATGATTGAAATAATAACTATATGGGTGGTATTAAGAGAACGAGAGCAAAGCAAATTTGTGAAAGAAACTTAAGGTTATAAGATCCTGTAATGGGCTAGAGGACAGTGTACTAGGGGAGAATATAGAAGTGGTCAGTATTGATTTTAGGAAAAAAGGACTAGTTTTCAAAAAGTTTATAATTTTTGAGATATAAGGCAGATGTGCATAACCATTTGAGAATATCTCACAGACCTAAGTCTTGAAATTTCTTCCCTTTATTTAAAGACAAAATGAAGATCAAATAATGTAAATAAGCCAGAACATAAAACAAGACCGTAGTTTTCTGATGTATAACACTTGTAGTGACTGTCACCTATATACTAATTTTTTCATTTTTCCACAAGAAGAGACCTTGTTTAAGGCCTCTATTGGATGTTATGATTTATAAAATTAAGCCATATCAATTTAGTATGTTGACAAAAAAGGGACAGTTATGTTATCATTTAAGACATTTTTACTATATTTGTTTCACAGATGCGTAATTGCTATATAATCTGTTTTTACTGCCACCTTTAGCCTCATAGATGTCATTGATAGACTTGCTGATTTAATTTTTAAGAATATTTAGATGTAGTTCTTGTATTAAGTTATTTTGATGTTTTTGTCACATTTTATCCTTCATTGAAATGTATCTAAGATTTTAAAGATGTAGAAAATGAGTTGAACCAAAAGGAAAAAAAGCATCTTGCCTTAATTCATAGTAAATGGATTTGCTCATTAATATCTTTGGTCAAAGATTTTGAGAGACAGCATTCTAAACAATTTCTTAAGCCCTTTTTGAAGTTTATAATAAGTTATCCAATTAATTATAAGAATCTTTTAGTTTTAATAACTTGTAAAAATGCTACATACATGTATCAAAAACATTATTTGAAAGCCTGATTCTGAAATTTTCTTTGTCTCTTAATTGTGTGAAAAATTTTAAATGCCTGTAACAAAAGATAAAATTAAATAATTTTGTGTTATTGAATGAGTGCCAAAGAAAATTTAAAGAATTATTCTTTCAGATGCTGATTTTTAAATAAGTTTTCAGTGTTTATACTTCAGAACTTATTAAACCAAAACTGCACTGAGTCATTCCAGACACTCTTTATTTAAGAAAGCAAAAAGATTCTTGCTTTATGGCATAGCTTCAAATTTAATATGGGTCTAAGTCACTCTGTAGATTTAGAGATGGATCTCTGAGGACTCTTCCAGAAATTTGATCCTGTGGCTAAGTTTTAGGTTGCAAAAATTACAGCATACAAATTCAAGAATGAAGATAACATCATCTGTAAAATACCCAAGACAATGTAACTTGGAATGCAGAAAATAACAAACGTAGCTGCTATAAAAATACACACATCGTATGGTGTTAAGGTGATGATCTTTGCTGAAATGCATTGTGTCTAAATTCTTTGACGAATAAGCAAGGAGTGAAGTTTATCTGCCAATGCAGGATTCAGATGACAAGCCTTAAAATCAAAGAGAGAAGAGTTATTTAAATATATTCTAATCATTTGGGTCTTTTCTTAATTTCTTTTTTAAAATTTATTTTAAAGAATAGTAAAGTACAGTGAATGTCAAGAGAATTTCTTCTTTGGGGTGCAGGGGGGCAGTGCTAGGAATCTAACCCAGGGCCTCCTGCATGCTAGGAAGGTACTCTATGACTGAGCTTCATATTCTACTCTGAAGGAAATTTCTTAAGATCATTTCTGTTTTGATATTTGTTTCCTACTAGAAATAAGGGAGTTTTGAATTTAACCTATGTGAAATAGATAATGCTCAAAATAACCATGTTATTTGAGAGAGAGAAAACTTTATCAAGGTCAAGAGTAAAGAAATTTAAGCATTCATGTTAACATTGTATGTCAAAAATTATTAAAATAAGTAAAATGAAAAGTATTTACATTTGGCCTGAAGCTTGTTATTATCTCATCATATGAATAGCAGATCTATAATAATCTTATATAAAAATATGTAGTTAAGCCAGTCCCCAGTGGCTTACACAGCTAGTAATTCTAGCTACTTGGGAGGTTTGAGATCAGGAGGATTAAAGTTGCACTTCAACCTGGGCAAAAAAGTTCAAGATCCCATCTCCAGAATAACCAGAACAAAAGTAAACTGGAGGTGTGGCTCCAGCTGTAGAGCACCCAAGCGCAAAGTCCCGAGTTCAAACCCCAGTACCCCCAAAATAACGTAGTTTTATTGTGCTATAAGTAAATAGTGTTAAGGTGCATGGTTTCTAGAATGTCAAGAATTTCGCCAAGTTATCAGAGGATATCTTGTACAAACCCCATTCTGGGCAGAAATTCTCTTTAGTACCCAGAACAACTGATCCCTAGGCATTTGCTTGGTTGCTTCTACTGGCAGGAAGTCACTATTTTGTAGAAAAAACTTCTGGTTTTGTTTCCTAAACAGTTATGTAGATTCTTCCTTCCATTAAGCTGAAATTTTCCTCCATGTTCTTCAGAATCTGAAAGGTTCTAGGAGAGTTCATAATCTTAGAGACCCTAAGAAGCAAAGTAGTTGGTGAAGTCACCCTGCCTGACAGTGGCAGAGACGAACATGGGTCTGGTGACCTTAGCTGCATGGTTTCCCATCTTGCTGCTTTACCTTTTTCTGTAGCTCACCTTTATTAACTAATTCTGCTCCCTCCACCACAGTTACTTTTCTGTAAGACACTATCAGTTGGGTGGTGACTATAGGACCCCCTCATGTTTCACTGTGAATGAAACATTCCCCATTTCTTTTCTCATGCCTCATATATGATTCTTCCAGACTCTTCACTAGTTTACTGCCTGTGAATGTTCTTCATTTTATCAGCATCTTCTATCATATAAAATAACCAAACTGGGTACTGCATTCTAGATGTTGGATTAGTACAGAGTAATGGGGCTATTATCTCCTCTGTCTCCTGTCATAGGGAAAACAGTTTTATCCTTGCAGTCTGCTTTGCTGCTTTTCAGAACCTGTATGCCATATTTCAGGCTTTTTCTTACGCAGAATTTTCTCTGCTTATGCTTGTTTAGAAAGGATATGAAGAACAGTATAGAACCTAAGCTTCTTGGTTTGGAAACTGGTATAATGCAGAAAGCATTTAGATTTTTAAAAAGTTACCAAAAGCAACTTTCTTTGTACTCATCATTCATACCTGGCAGAATGGCGTGGTGGCAAATACCCAAGAGGCTGCTGGTTGGTGGTATAGTGGTGAGCATAGCTGCCTTCCAAAGGGCGGTGGTGTGTGTTTGTGCCCTGTGTTTCTGTATTTGTGGCTTAATATGTGTTGATGCTTTGGAAATTTTCATTTTAAACATGATAATTTAGAGTTCCCAAACTTGCCTGCACATTAGGCTCCCTTGGGGAGCTTCAGTAGAGATGCTGGCATACCACTAGCAGGCTGTGATTTAATTCTTTTGCAGTGAGTGTGATGTGGGAGTGCAGGAACCACTACCACAGTCTCAGCATTTCAGGCTCAGAAACTTCTTCCTTGCCTGGTTCCCACTGCTCAAGCTGAACAATGTGCACTACATGAATTGTGTTACAAAGTTACCTTTGATGTAATTCTAATGTGAACTCATTAATGTCAAGGATCTAAAGCATGCACAGTTTTATGGTTGGTTTTTCTTTTTTAAAAAATTATTTACAGTTACTATTCATAGTGATTCCCCCAAACTCATTAATTTTTAAATTAATATTTGTTTCCTTTTAGACTTGAAATCCGCTTGGGATCTAAATAAAGTGACCAGATTAAAATGTGAAAAGGCAACTGATTACCTCAAATTTACAAATCTTTTTCTTATTTTGACTGTGCTGGAGGTTGAATCGAGGGCTTTGTGCAGGCTTGGCAAGTGCTCTACCACTGGCCATACCGCCAGTATGTTTTTTGTTGAGACGGGTTCATTCTGTACCTCGGGCTGGCCTTGAACTTGCTGTATGGCCCAGGCTGACCCAACTCTGAATCCTCCTGCCTCCACCTCCCAAGTCCTGGGATTACAGACATGCACTGCCATGACTAGCTCTAAACTCATGAAACTTCTAAATTCTAGATGTAATTATAATAAAAAAAACACTTTTAGAAAAACCTACATTGAAATACTAGAATGAAGATATAAGTTCACACTTTTTCTGAGTGAAGACATGACCTTTTTGGCTTCAAGGTCTTGGTGCTGGGTACTGCAGGGTGGCATCAGATCTAAAGAGAATAATTTCACATCAAAGCAGACTTTGTTATCTAAGCTTAATTGTTCTAATAATCTATCAAAATTTTGTGTAAACAGGGTTGTTGGAGTGGCTCAAGCGGTAGAGCACCTGCCTGACAAGTGTGAGGCCCTGAATTCAAACCTTAATGTCACCAGAAAAAAAACAAGAAATCTGTGCAAATAATCTGTAAGGCTGACTACCTCTCTGTGGACAGGTTATTTGCATAGTGATTAATGTAGGGGAAAAATAATGCATAAGTTCATGTCTCAATGACTAGCCAGCCATTTCTATTTGGGTAAATCTCTTATTTGTTCTAAAGCTTACTTTAGAATAGTAATGTTTAGCTTTTGCTTCATCCTTTGTGATGCCCAAGCCAAGCTGAAGACACCGTGCATGATAGAAAGACGCCATGGCCATGCCTCTGTTGATGAACTCCGGGAGACAGTCCGTGACCTGGGCTATCCTGGGGATGTCATGAACCTCATAGTCAGCAATCCTGATAGGACATTAAATTGTGAAGTTAAAAAGGACGTCAGTTATGGTTCATATTTTTTTACAAGGTGACATGTAGAAATTGTCCTTGTGCTCCATTGTCCTGTCTACCCCTTTGTGGTGAGGAGCTAGTGTCAGCTAATCAGCTCACAACTGGGAAGAGGAACCAGGACGTGACTTCGTAGTTTCTCTCTGAACATTCTCATCAGCCTGGCTTGACTATTAGAAAAGAAAAATTTTTCTTCTTGAATCATAGTGTTTTAAGCTTACATATCATTCTGTGTGCAGGAAAAATTTTATATTTCTTTGAACTACATATTGAAACATCAACTTTAAATCTGGAGGATAGTCACATAGCAACAGAAAATACTAAGAAGCAGCAGTTCTATCTTCTTTAAACATGAGTGGTAAAAAAAAATCCATCCTTCGTAACCCATGCACAAATACAGAGAATTATGTGAAAATGAGATCTAGCCAATTCCATGCTAACCACAGTGTTAGGGAGAATAGGAATGTGGACAGTAATGGAAAGTTCCAAAGATTTTAAAGAACTGTTTAAAGTCTTAGTTTTAGCCAGGATAGGCACTTGCCTGGGACACTGGGGATCACTCCTTTTAGTGGCCTATTGCCAGTAGGCCATGATGGGGAGTGGAGTAAGAGGGAAGCTCTTTATTGCCTTCATCCTGTCTTGGTTGCCACTCCTCACTGGGGCTAAGGGCCAGGGGAGACCATGGGCCCTGCTGGGCAGAGCGGTGAGTAAACACGTCAGCAGGTGCATAGTCTGATGGCCACTCTGGAGAGCATCAGGTCTGTTAGTCTTGGTATATTGGCTTTTGTACAGTGTGGGAAAATACATGTAGGAAAGTATGTCCCATCTTATGGAATCAAAAACTTCCATGTATTTTACAAGATAGTGTCAGGTTTTTTATTCTTGTTTTACTATCATGAAGCTACAATTCATTCATTCAGTAGTAGAACTCTAGAACTCTTATCACTCGTTTCCTTTCCCTCCCCCATGTTCTATAGAGTAGTTCCGCTATTACAAACATGTTCTGTATATGTTTGTATATATATACATACACTATTTTATAGCTCTCCATAAAAGTATTTTCTTCTGACAAAACAACTCTTTAAAACTTAAGAAACTTGCTTCAGCTAATAGCACTGAAATCCTGAACATAATTGGCATAGAATTATGCTATCAAATATGGTAACAACTAGCTACATATAGCTATTTAAGTTAAGTAAAACTAAAGTTTAAAAGTTCAGCCCTAAGTTGCATTAAATTCGTTGCAAGTGTTCAAAATAGCCATCATCCCCGACATTACAGAAGGTAATGAACAGATCTAGCATAGAACATCCGGTAGTCCTTGAGTATATTTTCACCCATCTCATTACACAAATCGTGTTGCTGTGGTTTGGAATTAATTAACACCATTAATCAGGTGTTAATGTGATAGTATTAAGAGGTGGGGCCTTCAAGAGGTGATGAGGTCATGAGGGCTCCTTTCCCAGGAACGGGATTAAGACCCTTATGTAGAAGGCTTCACAAAGCCTTTGGGTAGCTGGCCCCTCTGCGTTCTGCATCTCCAAAGGACGCAGCACTCACAGGCCAACACCTTCACCTTGGACTTCACAGGTTCCAAAACTGTTAGAAACAATTTCTATTCATTATAAACTACCCAGTCCAAGATGTTGTTAAAGCAACGTAAAAGAGACTCAGTCACCTTCTGGAAAATGCAACACACTTCGTAAAAAATTTCATCTTGTAGTAATACTCCACGAGAATCCCTTGTGCATAGACGTTCCCATGCTCTGCTGCTTCTCGTAAGCAGTGCAGTGCAGCTTCAGTATTCTGGTGAATGCCTTGTCCATAAAAGTACATGAGCCCAAGAGCACCCTGGGACTCCAGATTTCCATTGCCACATGCTTCTGAATGCCAGAAAAATGCCTAAGAAAGAGCACAATTTCATCATTTATTTGCAAGAGGAAAATACTGAAAAGAAAAGCCTGTAGTCATAAGATAGCACTGCTATCCATCTCCAGCAAACAGTTCTACGGGAATAGCCCCTTGAACGTATTTCACACCAGCACGGAATGCACATGCCAGAATTTGTTTCTACCCGCTTGCTGGAGAGAGGCCATGGGCTGAGTGTTCTTGGCAGAGGAGGATCAGCTGTCCTAGGTTTCAGGCCTTCAAACTTGCCAGAGTAAGGATGGAGAGGGGTAATCTAGGACAAAAGTGAAAAGCTGGGAGACACCTGCAGCGAGGGGCCATGGGGGAAAGAAGAGCTGTTGCTAAGGAAAAGTCAGAGTGTCAAATGTGTCTCAGCCAGGGAGCTTTGAGATCTGTGATGGAGAATCTTGATTGTCATCTTTTTTGAATTGAGAAGTGTCTAGGAGATTAGTAAAGTGCACCTCTGGGTGTGTCTGTTTCCAGACATGACTAAGGGAGAGGAGACTGAGTGTGGGTAGCATCCATCAGGCTGGGGAAGGAGGTGGATGCGGGAAGAAGCCCCTGGCATAGGCATTCCCTCTGCTTCTTGGCCACCGGGAGCAACTTTGTCGCACACTCTTGCTTCCATCATGTTTCAGCCTCACTCAGGCCCACCCCGATGGAACAAGTCAACCATGAATTGAAAATTCTGAAACTGTGAGCCCGAATACATCTTTCCTCCTTTGAAGTTGTTCTCGCAGGTATTTGTCACAATGACAAAAAGTCTGACTCATGCAACATTCTAAAATACAAACTTTCTTTGGCTCTTGAAGGAAATGTAACAGATACTCAAAGCTACGCACTTATTTCCCCACTGTCTTCTCAAAATAGAAAGAGTGAAGCAGATATTAATCAAAATACAATGTTAGCATTAAAAAGAAGAGGGCTGGGGAGGAGGCTCAGTGGTACAACTCTTTAATCCCCCACACTAAAATAAATAAATAAATAGGAAATGTTACCTTTTCTAATTCTTTTGGTTCTTTTGTTGAATAATAAAGTCCTAGGATACTTTGAGCCTTCACACTAGCTTTTGGGTTTCCATTGTCTGCAGCAAAAAGCCACAGTCTAAAAGAGCAAGCGAGGCAAGTTATTTTTGTTTCAGCACTGCAGTAAAACAAAATCCTGCTTTTAGGTGAGATTACCTTTCAGCTTCCTCCTCTGATCGTTTGACACCTTCTCCTTCATAATAAGCTCTTCCAAGGTTGTAAGCAGCAGCACATTTTAAGTGTCTTGCTCTGGGACATGGAGAATCGAGAACTTTCTTCATATAGTCCACTCCTTTCTCCTTCCACAAAGGAAAAGAACAAACAAAAACCCCCTAGATTTTAGTATTAAACTGAATTTCTTCCCATACTGTGTAGCGTTTACTTTTTGACATGATGTGTAATATCATAACCTATGCCTAAGGGGTTTAATTTTTTTTAGATTTTCAAGGCTGGAGATCAGGAAGGAAAGAATATTTAAGTCCATCTTCTGATCAGGTATTCCCAGGAATTGTGGGATATAATAAATCTTCACTTTATAGTTTCCATATTACAATAAGTCTCAGCATGGGTTTCCTTCTTTCTCTCTTCCTTCCCACTCTGTATCCCCTTATTCTGAATCAGTACTTAACAGAACTAATCAAAAATTACCGAAGTACAAGAATAGTCCGTTAATTCTTCTTTCAAATAACATTCCTAATAGTGCCGTGAACCCTAACAAATACTGTCTTCAAGCACACTTTGAGCATGCTCCGTGTAACGTATATCCAATATACAAATCTTCATGACATCTGCATAATCACAACGCACACAAGACATTCTAACACTAGCCACAAAAAAATCACCTGCTTCCCCATAAAACCATCAGACACAAACCTCCAAACATCACTCAAAAGAAGAAAATATCATCACTCCCTCAAAGTACTGTTGCTGGCTAAAAACCAGATAATGGATAACAAAAAACAGTGTTTTAGTGATTGCCATGTTATTTTGTGAATATTTGAGGAAGCTTTCTCAGATTCTCAATGCCTTTTATACTCGTCTTTGATTCTCCAGCACCTAAGGCTGTTTCCGACATCATTCCAATGTTTATGGAATTGAAAACTTGGTAAATAATACATTAGTCCAACTAAGTTGGAAGGCAAAGTTCACAAGAGTGAGCACATACCTCATGGATTGCATAGAAGGTGATCCCCGTACAAAAAATAGAAAAAAAATTTTCCTAACCCCTTATTATGTCTGTCAAGGGCAATTGTAAGGATGACTGTTACCCCTATGAGTGGTACTACTGCACAAAGAAACTCCACTGCCTTAAATATTAGGACTTGCACATATTCTAAGGTGAAAATATGTAGATTAACTAGATGTCAAAACGAGGCCAGGACTGTGGATTAAGCATCTAACAGAGGTAAGCAATTGGCTCTCTGCATCTCAAATGGACTCCTGCGATGAAATCAACGATTTGAGAGTCTTTTCAAGGTATAGATGGTGTTAACCATAGGACTAGATGCATTCACTTAGGGAGACCATGGGCGAGGCTGAGATCTAAATTCTGATGTACCCCACCATTTAGAGAGGAGAGAAGCAGCTAGGGAAGTTGATGAGGAGAAAAACAGAAAACTATTACAAGCACGTGGGAACAGTAGAAAGAGGTATGCATATCACTAAGTGAGAATCAGATGGAGTGAGGATATCTTAGAACCTAGGTAGGAGGGCAAGGTTTCAAGATTTCAAGGAGGCGTGGTCAGCTGTGTTTACGAAGGAAGAAGGGCATGCGAGGAAAATCTAAAGCTACAGGTATGTTTACAATTTTTACAATGCATTTAAACTCCACTTTTGTCCAAGGTCACTAAATTTGAAGGAAATATCTACTATATTTTAACATGTCAAAGATTCTATTAATTGTAAGGAAAAGGATTCTATCCCCTTCCCCTTCCCTGTTCCTCACCAAAGTGGACTCTCAGTGGTAAAGCCTATTTTTCAGGAGACAAAGTGTCCTAAAAGGTAGCCAAGGAACAAGTTGCAACTTAGGTTTATTTCATTTTTTCTGCTCACAATGCAGACAAAAATGTAGTGATCAAGCCAATATGGAAGCAATACTTTAGGATAACCCTACTTTATTAGTATAAAAGAGGAAATTATTTAAAAGGTTAAATATTTCTCTAGCATCTGGAGAGGGTTATTTAAAGTAAACTTAATAAAAACTCAAGTACAAAGAGGCTCATTCTTTTTGATAGTTGAATTTAGTTATGTTTTGAAGGGAAGCTGCTAGCCCAGGGTTAGAGTTGAGGATAGAGGAAGGGGTAAGGGGCCAAAAGAAGTTATTGTGTTTCATGTGTAAAGTGATATTAACATTCTTTAAAATGCTATACATTTAGATGCTAAAATGTAAAAAAAAAGATTATTAAAACATAAATAATATAATTGTATCATATAATGCATTGACTATGCGATCTTAGACACTGTGAAGCAAATAATAACTTACAGCATTTGTAGCAGTCCCCAGCCCATCATAATACATCACTCCTAGCTGGTAAGTTGCTTGGTGATCTTTCTCCGCGATTTCTTCAAACTGTTCTAATGCTTCTTCATACCATCCCTATAAAGCACCAGAAAATATTGTTTTATTAGGATCTTAAAAGTAATCCTAAACTGAGGCACTGAAAAGTTATTTGTGCCCAAGGACAAACAGCAATCAATGCAGTCATTGCTAAGAGGTCATGCTCTTAGTCTCTGGGCTGTGCCATCTCAGAGGGTGAAGTGCAGGCTAAGGTCTTTACAAATACCTGTTTCCAGAAGAAATGAAGGTGCCACTATCCAAAGGTTAGAGAGAAAGTGGGATATGATAAATTACTGCCCAAATATTCAGTTGATCATGAGTGTTTTGAGGACAGTCTCTTTTCAAATCTTCCCTCAGGGTTTCATGGACAATCAAAGCTCAATACTGAAATCAGGGTGATAGCCTTCATGTTTTCATAGCTCTACCTTCCGGACTATCCCAGTATAAAGAGGAAATGGCCTCTTCATTCTCTGTATAAACACTTAAAGCTACTTTAGAACTAGATAAGAATCAGGGCCTTGAACTGTTGTTACTAAGAAAATATTTTATAAATGGCACTAAGTATTTTAATAAAAATACATAAAATTATGTTTGAAATTTATAGTGTGAAAATGGATTGCAAAACCAAAATTATTCCCATAAATGATTTGATTAGAATGATTTTTGTGAAGAAAGTTCAGACAACTCCTGAAGAGATGTGTATCATTCTTAAAGCCACAACCATAATCTAAGTGACTGGACAGAATTTCCCTGGTATAACAATGTGAGGAACGACACTTGAAGTTTTGCTATGAGCATCTGATATGTGTGTGTATGTGTTGCTGGGATTGAACTCAGGGCCTCACCATGCTAAGTAAGAGCTCTACCACTGAGCTACACCTCCGACAATGGGTATCAAAGGACAGAATTATAGGGAGTGGAAAAAAATAAACAGAATGATACCTCTTCAAAATACAGTTGACCTCTTAGAAAATATGCCAGAGCGTCCCCTGTTTTTATTCTTTCCTTCAAGAGCTTCAATGCCTTATCCACCAAATTAGCATGGCTGTAATGATCTGATTTAAAAAGGTAAAAATTCCATTAACCATTCCATGTGAATATTCTTTCTCAAAGTAATAAATTAATTAGAATTCATGTGACACTGCTAAGACTGGCCTCCTTAGCTCAAGGGAAAAGGATGACCTAAATAAGCACACTGTCATTGTACTTAACACTATACCTGTACAATCAAGAAGTATTCACTGATGGATTTTTCAAAACACCTGTTTACCGCCAGGTACGAGCTCTAACCACATAGTCTATGTGCACACAGTAGTTTTTCTTTTGGCACTGAATTAAATTCTTACCCTGTGCTTTATTTAGAATTACTCTAATCAAATGAGCTGATTATCCCCAATTTAATTTCTTTAAATCTACTTAAAAATAGACTTAAAGTGCCCATTTCAAGTAAAGTATGGTAGTTTTGTCTTCTTGGACAGAGTGATATCTGACTTCTTTTTTCTAGAAGCGTGTCCTTAAGTCCTGAGAGTAAAACCAGAATCAGGAGTAAATTGTGAGACTCCTTTGGTGATAATTTGTTACCAGAATAAGTCTCAATTTCACAGATTTTTACAGGACAGCTAGAAAGGACTATAACTAACCACTTCCTTGAAATCAGTGCAACATATTTCTTGTCTTGTTTATTCTAGCGTTCATGATGAAATTTCAGTAAAACATTTTCCATGGCAAGATTAAATATCCAGATTAGTACCAGGCTTTTCCTTTCTCCATTGGAAGAATTTTTGGTGCTTATTAGCGTACTGAGATCCCGAGGCATAAAAAGGGTTCTTGGGCAACTTTTCACTGGTCAACTGCATCCTGTTTCCACAATGTGTATTCTGTAAAGAACAAAACAGTAAGATGGTAGAAAATTTCAAAGAGACTCCTTTCCCAGATGACCGCCATTACAAAAAGCATTCTCCCTTATCACCTAGCAATAGAACACCACTACCAGCTCCAGGATGTGAGCATTCTTCGCTAGGAAACAGGACCCTCCATCGCTGAGAGACACAGTTGCCCTCCATGTCTACTTGCACGGCATGAGATAGTGATGAAATAGGTTTGCAAGCCCTGTGTTCACATTCTGCAGTGAGTCATGTCACCCACCATAACCGCTGCCCCTCAGTTGGAATTGGTGACACTGCTCATAGATACAGTTGTGCACTGGTGTCCTTCTGCTGCCTTCTAACTTTTGCTCATTATCACCCATTTCAAATGAAAGCCCTTGTCTATTTTACCTGGGAATACACCTTATTTTAGCTGGGTTGTTCAGTTTTATCCTGTCTGTGTTGGATTGCCATGTTTTAAGATGGATCACAGCTGAATGGTGGGTGAGTCAGAGCCTTCATAAAAATGTAAAGGCCACCTCATTTGGGATGAAGAAGTCCAGGTTGGCCTAGGCTGAAGGTAGTGACACAGCAAAATCAGTTGTTGCTAAGCTTTTTTGTTTACTCCTTGGCATTTTACTGTTTAACCTATCAGGAGCAAGCTTCTAGTCAAGGTTCCTGATTGGTGGTCAAGAGAAGAGCTCAAGAAACCTTTAGTGTGATTGAGAGTTGCATTTGAATAATTACAGGATACTATTTTAGACAATGAACTTCATTAAATGAGATGAAGTGCAGGAAAGGGACCTCATTCATTATGTTAGCAAAAACAAAATCACTGAACTGTCTTCATGATTTTGGAAAAATCTTTAGGAGTCAATTTCCTTATCTGTAGTTTAGACTATCATAAGTAGCTTGAACTAAAGGATTTTTAAAATGTCCCTTCCTAGATATATAGAATTATTTGATTGTGTGATTTTCAAAGTCTATGGTTGCATTAATGAATATGAAATTCCCGATGAAAGGGTGCAGCGATATAGATAAAGTATTTAGAAGAAAAACAATCCAAACAGGATGAAGCAGACACTGCGTGACTGGTTACTGCTCAGAAACTGGACGCAGAAAATTTTATTTTCACTGGAGACATTAACCCAGCACGCAACTACATCCCAAACAGTTAAGAAAAAAACTTGGCATATTCAGGAAGCGTGAGAAAGGAAATGAATTATAAAAATACTTTACCTTGTTTAAACTCTCATGGCTCTCTGTGGGTGTAGGACTGCACATCGTTTTTGTTGCTGCAGCTTAAAAAAAGTGTTGGAGAGGATCTGGAAAATAAAAACAAAGGTTTGTTGAGTGAATACTAAATGTCACTCCTACAAAACTTTATGACATAGGGACTACTATGAGGCCCATTTCACATATGAGAAATGAGCACAGCGCTTAAGTGATGTCACAGGGCTGGTTAACAGGCCATATGGGATACCCTTGCACTGGGCACTTACGCATTATTCTTTCTGTTTTTCCAAATCAAGCAAAATTAATGTGATTTTTCAACACGGCAGGACTCCTGTGAGAGATTACCTGAAGCTTAGTACTTATAATGAGGAAATGAGAACTAACAGAATATTGGCAAAAGCTCGAGTATGTGTTTATTTCTTCCATGTCTTGGAATCAGACATAAAATCATTATTTGAAGCTTGACAGGTATTTGTATGACATGTTGTAAATTTAGAACATTCTAATTAGAAGCTGTAGACATGAATCAAAAATATAGAATCTGAAAGAAATCTGTGGTTTTGAAGGGCAGGGCAGGTGGAGGGGACACAGATGGCCCACTTCTCAGATCCCCACTTAATGCCCCACCCTCAACTGCTGTGACTGCTAACTGAAACCAATTCACAGCTGTTTCCTTTCTCTAGCAAAGTCCCAAGTCACCTTTGTCACTCATCAAATGAGTGCCCCTGCTCCAGCATCCTTGAGTTCCTTCTTCTTGCAGACAGACCACTTAGAACATCATCCCCCCTGAAAGAAGCAGTCTGCCTTCAGCATCCCTGCACACACTTGCAGGGCGTGTCAAGAGAGCAAGGCGCTGTGTGCTGGTTACATGGGCTGTTCCCAGGTATGTTGCATCAAGTAACTTTGACGGATCCCACAGACAAAGGTTGGGCTTACTTTTCTAAAAAGGAGTGACTCCCCAGACTCAGTGCTGCTCTTTTGTGATGCAGTTTTCTGGGTGTGCAGGCATATACTATGCTCCCTTTCAAATCAGCCCCGTGACAATTGGGAGGTCATAGGCCCCTGGTTCAAATATTATGCTGACACTACCATAAGTAAGAAAGTTGTTTGTCTCTGACTCAGGAGTCTCGTTCTGCTAGTGGTGTTCATGTATCACCTGGAGTCATACTGCATACATACATGACAGACAATTAGAAAAAATAATTACTATCAAATCTCAAAAGCCAATATTGAATCAGGCAGTGGCTTTCTATTTTTTTCACTCTTTTCAGCTAAGACCATTTGTTTATTTAAGACAAAAGTATTTCCTCCCATGCTCTTCCTTTTGGTTGTGGGTCTTCATTCTGAGTGTGGCAAATTTACATCATTCCCTGCAATGAGGAAAAAGAAAAGAAATGTGGGACCTATCTGTGGGACCAGATAGGTCGTGGTAAGCACTCAGTAAGGGAACCTTGTAGGTTTTTATTTTTCCTTCAATTTATGCTGCATTCTGTGAGCAAATAAAACAGGCCAGGGACTCCTGACATGTTCGCAATCTTAATACCAGTCACATAGGATTCACATGCTTCATCTGTCCTGCTCCCAATGTGTGGAAGCTTTTCTGGCCAGTTAAGGGAAAGGTCCTTTTCTGAGGGGATGTCACTCAACACTCAAAGGCAAATGGATACGAATATTATTTAGTGATTATCTATCTCTTTTCTGAATCCACAGAAGCTTGTTTATACAGAAGACCTGGTGCTGTTATAGTTAACAAAAAGTTACCTTTTTGTGTTGGGTATTTTTGAGACAGGGTCTTGCTTCCCTCTCCCCCGGCTGGCCTCAAACTGTGATCCTCCTGATCTCTGCCTCCCAAGTAGCTAGAACTACAGGTGTGAGCCACCAGGGCCTGGACAAAATTCTTCTTTGTAATAATTGCTCATCACCCCCAAAGTGTGGCAACAGTTGGGTAAATAATCGTAAGTAGAAGTGACAAAAATCTGGAGCAGCAAAAACTTAAATTGACCTGCTCTTCTAAATGATTGTGAGAACCACATCAAGTAGGAAAATTGAATTAATCTTTTATAAAATAATTGTGAGCAGATCCACAGTTTGCTTGTTTCTGTCGCATAACCTTAGAGAACTCGTAGGTAACAGGTAACAGTATCTTACACCATCAGGCTCCAGTTGTGTTCAGTCTTATCTTAAGCAAGACAGAGGAGGGTTGGTGGAGTGGCTCAAGTGGTAAGAGCACCTGCTTAGCAAGTGTGAGACCCTGAGTTCAAACCACGGTGCTGAGAAAAAAAAAAAAGAGAGATATGCTTGAAGAAGAAAAAGTGGTATTCTACCTGAAATCAGGAAAGAAATAGGGATTCTTGATATTACCATTATTAGGTTGTAATGGTTTAGAAGTTCTAGTGGAAACAAGGATATGCATATGAAACAAAATGATCTTTCTTGTAGATGATGGTTGTAACTGTGAATCCAAAGGAATCAGCTTGAATCACCTGATTCATTCAAACAAGTGGCAAGATAAAAAATGTGCAAAACCAAAATGCCTATAGTTGATGAGAAAATACAATGGACAAGGAATGGTCATTCATAGTAACGTGAGCATATCAATATGCAGGAATAAACTCACAGAACTGTGTATGGCATATGAAGAAAACTATAAACATTCAAAAAATGAGTAACTGGATTCTGGGTGACTACAGTGTTTCATTTGTTATCATCAATCTTTTTTTTTTTCTTTTATTATTCATATGTGCATACAAGGCTTGGTTCATTTCTCCCCCCTGCCCCCACCCCCTTGTTATCATCAATCTTAACAGATGTGTGACTCAGGTGGGAATGTTCAAAGTGGGGAAGGCTGTGACTATGTGTGAGAGCAGGTATATGAGCACTGTCTACCTTTTGTTGAATTTTGCTGTGAAACCAAAATCTCTCTAAAAATTAAAGTTTATTTTATTTTCCTTTTTAAAGTTTATTTTAAAAATGAATAAACTACCTAGGCATCAGTCAGAAGCACAGAAAATGGTGGAATGAGAGGATATAAGAGCAGGTGCGGGACTCATCTGACCCCTCTGCTTTTGGGGGCCACTTTAGGCTGGCTGGCATTGGCAGTTGAATTTCAGGCATTTCTTAGCCTAAGATTTTACTGGGAAATCTGGAACTGAGATTTTTATCTTATTCTACATCTCTAAAACGCACCATCGTTGCCAACACCCAGTGCTGTGTCTCAGACTTTGATGTAATTACTTCTATAATAACTTAAAACTAATTTCTAAAAATTTAAGTAATTTGAAGACAATTCTTAAAAAGTGTGCTCTATTTCCCAGTTCCATTGGGTAAGAGATCAGATTTCATGAAGGCCTAAATACAACTACTGATGGAGGTAATTTCTGTGTTTAATGGTAGTTACACAAACAGATCTCAGTTATTTCAGTAATTTAGTAAAAAAGAGATTAAACTTGTCAGAAATTTGTATTACCAGTTGCACTTGTGTAATGTAATTGGATAGTTTGAATGATTTAATAGATAACTTGTGAGACCGTGTTTGAAAGTTTGAAGTTCAGTTGTTTTATTTATAAAAATGCAGATTACTAGATAGGTAGAATACTGGATATATATTTTGAATAGAATATATTTCAAGCCAAGGCAGGAGTAGTGACACCAGGCCAGCCTTGGCTACACAGTGAGTTCTAGGCCAGTGTGGGCTACATAACCCTGTGTCAAAAACCAAAACCAAAACCACAACCAAAAACACTTATCTCAACAGCACACTTCACATTGTT